TATATATATAGGTAAAAGAACTAAGAGGCTGGCTGACGTTTTCGCAGAATTCGGATACAGGGCTTTTAAGAAGGAAAACGACACATATGATTTCTCACGAAGGTATCTTGGTTGATCCCTTAAGAAGACCGAATTGTCCACCAATAGGCGTACAGGTAACACGCAAATATTAGGTTAACCTGGGAGATTATCCTTCGGTACAATAGTAATAATATTAATCTGTGCAGGCGACCATTGTCTTTGATGTGAATCTTGTTTATACCTTTGGCAAACATATCAATTGTTTGAGGTTTTTATTTGACGTTCCGAAGTTAGTGTACTTGATGATGATAAAGCTAATGTTGCTGGAGGCAACCATAGCTCGAAACACATAGATTATTTATAGCATTTGAAAGTCCAGAGAAAAGTCAGTAAAAAAAAAAGTGGCTCAATACAAATTCTGCAGCACAGATGGCAAACTACAAAAGTCGCAAGTCAGCTGGCGGTCGTGTTAATATTAGTTGAACTGTTCATCAAAACTATATATTGCAAGCAAATCGCAACCTAAAGATATTCATAACATAATAGGTACTAATAGGCACACGCAACGAGTATTTTATGGCTGTTCGTGCTTGCACTGTCGGAAAGCCCTAGCGAAGCCGAAGGACTAAGGTGCACATCGACTGCATTAGGATAATTCCTAGTCCTTTGTCTAATACGGCGTGTAGAGGCAAAATCGATATAAGAATATCCTAACAATAGTAGTTCTTCTCCTACATTTATCTTTATTAATATTTGTAACACCTGCGTATTTTGCAGTGGCTGTTATTAAACTTAGTCAGATCCCATGCTTATCCCATGGATGATTAAGCAATAAACGGTTCAAACTATTTAGAAGACAAAAAAAAACCATAGAACCAATACGACATTTGCAACGCATGTTCGCTTTGTTGAAAGCCTAACAACTCGCTCGAGTAATTATGATTTAGTTCCAAAGGTTGGTATGGTCCATGATGATTTCAAGCACTATTTTCAACAATTCATATTTTCATTGTGTCTGACATCCTATATACCCGTATGCGTGCAATATTTTCATACATGACACTTGGCTTGCACAGGATGTCCAGATGCGTGCACGTAATTATGCGTAATTATTTTTCGAGGCTGAATTTTCAATAGGATACGAAATTACCAACATACATTCAATCATTGTTACCATCACAACATCAGGATTATAAGTTAAATTATCTGATACGAAAACTAAACTAATCCTGCCTGATGGAAAGCTTACCACCAAATTAAGCATCTGCAAGTTCGCTACATAATTAATAGCAAGTAATTTTATTTATGTCTCTCCTTTTGTTAGTCGCTTACAAGAACCGTCTCAATATAAGCTCCGTTACGTTTTTCCTTCCGTCACTAGGAAAATACTCATAAAACAGAGCTCTGCCCGTGCCGGTGCTCGAGATGGAGAAGTTTCAAATACTAGTCTCGAATGTCAGCCTTTGTATCCATGTGCTCAGATTTATCTGTTATTTATCTGTGTCCATTTTTATATTTTAAATGACCATCTGTGGTGTTACAAAAAGAATTTTGAACATTTGTGGCACTCCTAGTGTGACGATATTGAACATATGATTCTTTTTGAGGGGATAAAATTATCGCATCGTTCATTGGGTCTTTTTTGTACAGTAATTCTTAATAATTTAATTAAATTTTAATTAATAATTTTCAATAAATTTTGTATCAGTTAATTTATTTTTCATGGCATTGTTGTCAGGCGGTGGACTAACATTCTTTATTCAATAAATAACTCGGAGAACATACATATTTAAGAATGCTATATGGTTATTGTTTTTGGTTAGGTATGAAAAGAGCTGTTAAATGCAATGGCTGCTAAAGTTTTGCTCTAATTACATTTCAAAATTTGTACGGCCAGGCATCGGCCTAAGAACAGCAATATGCGGCAGATTACTCAAAAACAATTACTGTTACCAAAGTAAGCATAAACATATTTTATACCTCTATTTTGAAGATCGATCGGCATAGGTCTTAAACTAGCTTTGCATTGAAAAAAACCCATCATCTGAAAAGCGATTTTGGAAAGGTCTGACATCGGTAGGCTCAAAGCGTACCGACTGATACAGTACGCTTTTTCTAAGTGCTATCGTCTTAGAAATCTCCACCAGATTTTTTCTACGAAGAGGATGTTTAAAATCCGTATTTCCTTTATAGACTTTGAATTCTTCGTAGTACTGCACTCCTGAGCAAGCATTTAAGTTTCAAATTAGTTACAGTAATACTATAAGGCTTTCAAGAATTGCTAATGCTAAGTGTGCCTGGTTCGTAAAATACGTCGAAACTATTAGGGTTTGTAAAAATTCTCACATAAATGCATAAAGTTTAAATATTTTTGAAGCACATGAAATTTTCATTTTTGTTATTTGGCAAAGCCACTAAGCATTATGAGCTGATCCTATATTTACCATCTATAACGTTAGTCATCTTAAGCTTTCCTCGTTATATTTAAGATGATACACCAAGAGCAAGCTTATTAATTTACTTAATTTTAGCGACCTTGCAAAAAAATGAAGTTGATTTATTTCCCACTTTAAGCACCCCATCTATTCCTTCATCTGGGAGTTCATATAAATACAATGGCTGTACCACCAACCAGTGTCTTCCCTACTCGATCGTTAAACAGACGCATAACACTACCTATAGCTAGGACCTTTCTGCTCATGATTACGTTTTTTACGTTTAGCCAATTAAATTATTGCGGTGTATTCGGGGAATAAGTACACATGGAATTATTTTATGCTGAAAATACCCGTCGGAAAACAACAGAAAACTTTATATGGCTTAGTTTCTCATATAGCTATTTAGGGCTGATTTTGTTATCCTTTCGAAGTTTTACTGTTTTTATGGGCATTAACCCTTTTTCTATCTAAATGTATTCTTTTACGGACTTCTAGCAACAGTAAAAGAATACATTTAGCAACAGTTGCCAGTGACACTGATTCCTTGCTCTACAATAAATCGACGCACTATTTTACTTGTAATTAGACAGAAGAGCGATTTCTAACACGTCTTTTCTATACAGTAACGTTAGAGCCGCGCAGCGGTAACGTATCTACTAAATAATCTACATAACACTGTTACTACTTGTTACGACTCACTGGTGATCTATTCCATCCACCTTTCTGTTGTATAGCACAACTGAGGCTCAGGCACCTAACTTAATATAGATACTTGCTTTAGATTCAATTTGTATTTTAAATAATCGTTTCACTGATCACTCTATTCACGGCTCAGTTACTTAATTTCTAATATGTTCTTTTCCCTGTGTTCGACAGCCTGGGCCCCCGTATCTGTCCAATTATATACGTCGATAATCTAATGGCTTTTTTCGTTACGGGTTATACGTCCAACTGAATGGAATTTTGCGGTTGAATAACGTTTTTTTGCACTAATAAAATTCACTTTTACATTACATGACGTTGATAAGTATTTGTCAATCATACTTTCGACTATATACGTACGTTTATATTTCTACGTCATTAATATTTGAGGCGAACAATTATTAGTAAGTTTACAACCTGTATGGTAAAGGCATGATGCCATTAGTTTAGCATTTCCATTGACTTTCAGTTTCCTTACGTTATCAATCCACTAATACCGTTATAAACGTTTACTTTTTTATACCCATATATTTTATTTGCGCTATTAAGTAATGTTTAATATTTTTAAATATATTGGCCCAGACGACGTACTCAAGATACGAACAACTGAGAAATAAATTAAAATATAAGATTAAAAGAAATACCCACATTAGTTGTGGAGAGAAGATACAATTTACATCACTACCTAGATAGGTGGCTAGTTTCAGAAGTATATTCGAAGCATCATATTTTTTTCCTAAAATTATCCAATATCAATTCTATTCTATATAATTGTAAGTTAAATAAATAAAGATGGTGGTAAGGTGGTAAAATAAATATAGATTAACTACTGAAGTTTAGGATTAAAAATCAATAAACCACTTAGTCGATCTATTGTCATATCATCTAAGCCCTCAACAGGTTGTTATCAAATATTAACTGATTTCCTCCAACTGTGAACTGTTGAACCTAAAAGTGAACTGTTGCTGTAGTCAAAAACAGAACAGTAAAAGATATATCACCTTAAGTAGACTTAATAAAGCTATTATCTTTTTTTTTCAAATTCGTTTCCATTAAAAACGAACCCGATTATACATCTAGCTACATTGACTAAGCGCTGTGTAATTTGTTCTTGCATAATTATTGGTTATAACTTACAGCGTCCTCATTACTGTGTTGCTAAACGCTCTCTCTTATTGCTCGATGGCGCAATTTTTCGTTTGTTTTCCACCTAATCCATGGTGAGCGACTCTCGTATATGTTTCGATATTGCTCTTATTCTTGCGATTTTCGATTCATTTTTATTTGCACGTACTTCACGTGCTTACTTGGCTCGGTATTTTTGCGCGCTACAACTATCTGCGCGTATCCGGCCCCCATGCACGCGCTGCTGCGTGCAAGTCCATCCACATATTATCCGCCTGCTTCTCGCCGTTCCTCTTCCATCACACACTCCACCTGTGCTCTGCTCTGCTCTGTTCTCACTGCGTGCTCGCCACGGCTTCCCTCACCCATTCCTGCCTCCGCTACGGCTGGCGACCCAGTTTTAACGCAAACATTCTCAAACAGCGACTGCAACCAAATGAAAAATTCCCTATGAGCTAATTACCTTCGAAAAACTATCGAAGTAACAAAATGCTCTAACGCGGTGGCAACTCACGACTCTAATTAGTCATTTCTCCTCGCTCCAATTCAAAAATAGCGCGCCAGCCGAGCACTGGAGTCCACTTCTCACTATAACTACCTCATAATTGTCGCGAATTTCATGCGTGTTTCTCGATGCAGACCCACCAGGGGCGTCAACTCGATCCTAATACGGGCCGCCCGCGTGTCCACGGGCCACAAAATCACCGTATTAGACATTGAGTCCTCTGGAGTGAGCGCCCTTAGACTCCGAAGTGGCGCTTCCGCTGATCACGTGACCCCCAACAGCCAATCAGCACCGCTGTCAACCAGCACAGCCGCCATCTTTGAGCAAGTCGCTGTGTTCAATGTTAGTGCTACGCTCTGCAGCTTCAAATCAACGTCGAAATGGCAGGTTTTTTCATGAAATATCCGAAAATCGCTGACTAGAACAACCCCAACGGAGGCGGTGGACCACTTGCGGCCGAACAAGCCGAGATCCGAGCGTCCCTAGGCCACTTTGGCCCCCGCTGCTATTTGTTGTGCTGCTGGCTGCCCGTGGAGCTTGTAGGCTGCAAGTGCCGAGGATATGACCGGTGTGTTTCAGGCCGTTTGGCTCACCGTGTGAGGGACAAATCGGTCCCAAATCGGCGGGAGGTGATCATCCAAGTCCGATTGAGGTGAGCCGAGGCCGTATTTCGGCTGAACGCCGAAGCGATGTCTATCCCTAACATTCACTGTTGTGTTTTGTGCGGCAGAATGAATAGGTCCGAACCGACCGTCGACCGTGATCACGGTTGCTCTATTAGTGGCTGGTTGCTTGTTGGACAGGCTATTGCCTGGCCGACAGTGGGCTGTAACATACAGCCGCAGCAACAGTGCTGTACTGCTGACATAGGACGGCATTTGGGCATCTGATGCCTCCTGCACAGTTTTCGTAGCCTACACTAGCGACAGTTCGTCCCGCGACGGCGACGACTGGCCAACTGTCCCCTGAATCGTGTGAGGTTAGCCAAACCTCCAAAATCGTCGTGTTTCGTTTCTCTGGCGTATCTGTCTATCCACCATTTGGGTGTCTGTCTTGGCACTGGTACAAGGCAATAATAGCGGACTGCTGGTGCGGGTGATGTTGCGGAGACGGCCTACGGCTGTTAGTGTTGATGGTACTGAGCACCAGCAGCAGAAGCAGTATCAACGCTACTGCTGCTTTTCGTACTGCGAGAGATGGATGCCGAGCGGCCGAGTTTACGGAGATCCGTAAAACGCGTTGTTCTAGCGCCGCCGCCGCCGTCGTCGTCGTTGCATTTGCGGTTTTTCAGTAGCGGCAACTGCGGCGGTGGTAGCGATTGGTGGCGGTGGTGGTAACGGCGAGCGAGCATCGAGATTCTGTGGGGGAGACATGCCCAGAGTTTTGTTGTCTGGCCCCGTGTTGTCTCGGTGTCTTTCGTCCTGGGCTAGAAAGAAAACTTTGGCGATTTTGACTCACTGTGACCAATCGTCGCAGTTTAAGTGTGCGTTCAATTTGATGGCGCCCGACTCTTCCGTTTATCATTGGTATCAGCTTGTGTATCGCCGCCAGTCAGGTGGTAATTGCCGTGTTGATACTTGCTGTTAAAGATAGAATAATGTAATGGTCTCAGTAGGTGTCATCGCAGGGATCACAACAGCACCGTTTGCTCGTGCTGTGTTGTCTACCTGCCAGATCATAGTACTGATCCAAACAACAATAACAACAGCAATTATCACAAATGCTGTCGCTTGCTAGCCACCATTCGATTAAGTTTCGGGCATCCATCTCTTCCTAGATGTGACTGTATACGTGAGTGAGCGCCGCAATCATTAGCGTACACTGCTTCGTGCGTCGCGCTGAATATGTTTCAGCGAACGAATGCTGTGTTTGTTTATTTGTTTGTTGTTTATCTGTTTGTGTGTGATCCTACCCGTGTGTAGTAGCCACTCTCAACAACAATGTACTAATGAGACGATGCTCAGGACGACGTAAATTATGAGAAAATTTGTTTTCCAGGGGAGGGGGCGGCTTCGTAAGCTAGCTATGTGCAGTGTTACTCACCGTTCGAGCTTTCTATACACTATCTAATGTGTCTAATATTGTTATGTTGTGTATGGCGTCTTTCTTTCGACGTGTGTGTATGTGTGTGTGTCTCTGTGTGCGTTTCAATTTCAGGTGTGATAGCGACATGGCCCGGAGTGAAGCAGAAGTTTGCAGCAGCAGAACAACTAACAGCGACGACGGCATTCACAGCAGCAGCAGCATCATCGCCACTAACACCAACAGCAGCGAGGGTCGTATAAGCTGAACGTTAACGTAGCCGAGTGACCAGCGGCGAGCGAAGAAGATCGAAGTCGAATGAAGGAAGAAGACGCTCGCTTGCGCTCATAGTGAACAAGCGCCGAAAGAGAGCAAGTCAAATCAACTTAGCCAGGCTACGAAGAAGTCAATAAAATCGAATATCGTTACTAATCATCGTACATTGTACAATACCGTATGTCGTGCATTGCTGTGTCGGGGGAGTCTTCGCGCTGGGCTCAAGTTGTGCGTGATAGCCTTCGGGTCCATGTGTGACTGGATGCCCTCGGTCTAGCTAGTGTGCAAACCACACGCACGAACGCAGGCAAATCCAGTAGCGGTCCTGCTCTCACCTCCATTACTGTTCTCTTTATGCGCCTGACGGAGTTCTCACTGTTTTGCAAGTGAGTGCAAAAAGCCCAACTCAAGAAAACAAAAGAACAAGCCCTAAACTAATCTCAACAATTTCAACATCGATTTGGCTTAAATATTCATTCGTTCGTTTGTGTAGCTACTAACGATAAGGAGCACAGTTCCCTTAAGGACTCCGTTAGGCGGGCAGGCTGTGACGACGGGCAACAAACAGCTCTGCGGTGGGGTGCTGTTGTACTGGTGTTTGTATCGTGACGTACTGCGACGCACAGCGGCCCACTGCCAGCTACTGACAATAATAATCATAATATTAACGCTTGTGCCTAGTTAGTGATTTGTGTATTGTGCAAGGTGGACAAAGCAGCGGCAATAGCATCAACAGCTACACCTGCAGCTGCTTCGACACGGACAGTTGCGACTGCAATCCAATAACAGTAACACTACTAAAATAGCCGGATAGCCGTACAATAATAAAAATAATAATTATAATAGTAAAGCAAAATCAACGGTCGACTGTTGAAAACCAGAACTGCATCAATCACAAGAACTCGAATGGTGATTGAGTAAAGTGCGCCAAGTGTTCCCATTCAGCTAAAGACAGCGGACAGACAGGAAAATAAAGAAACTTTGACTGCCAGCCAGCTCATCAACCCGGCAATCTTCGCTTTTTGCGATCCCTCGATTGTTGTTATCGTCTGATGCTCATCCCGTTGGTATCTTCAATCGCATTATATCCATAAATCTTCCAATAGTGGCTGACTTTATTCAACCCCTTCCTTCCTCCGCCGTGGAATTTGTACGCTGTCTATGTGACTGTTCGTCCCGCGTCCGTCTCTAAGATGCAGGATGCCGTCCGTGACACACACGCAGCAGCAGCAGTAGTGATCCATTCGAGTCTCTACAACGGTAGCCCGCTCGCCAGGGCCCGGAGGGCCTCGGCGCGATAGAGAAGCGGTCAGAGGACGCGCCGTGAAGACGCGCGAGGCTTTGGGAGGGGTTGCTGATACAGGCCAGCGCAGCCTCCCCGCACCCTCCGCAAGCATGGCCGACCACCTTGTGGATGCCGGGCCTCCGACCAAGAGGCCCAAGGTCTCCGACCCGACAATGGGAGGTTAGTATTACGTGACGAAACGTGTTACTCTTGAAGGAAATTTTGTAAGGGATACACGACGAGTGTTTGTTTTGTAAGTTTAGCCAGCATAGCCAGAGTGATGATGGTGTTATTACTGCGAAAAGGGAACAAAAGGAATAGAAACATAGGTCCAAGTCACATATAATGCTGATACGGGTATCCGCTGTGGGTTTTGTCTTGTGGGTCCCAGTCGTTGCCTGCGCGTATTTTGTGTGTTTATGCGTATGTTAAACACAGCATTACTCCCTGCTAATTTCATTAGCATCAAGTGAACAGTGTGTAAACTCACCGCAGTATTGTGTGCGCGTTCCAAATGGTTCACTTAGTTTTCAGCCGTTTCTTGTTAAAAAGGCTACTTCTTTTTCGTAGAGATATTAGGCCTTCGAAACATAGATACGAAGGAGGGTAAAGAAGAAGTGAGCATTACTGAGTTCGGATATTTTATTAAACACTATAATGTTGAAATAAGAGTAAGATGGCCAAGTATGTGATGACTGTGATCTAAGCTCATGCTTAGAGGAAAAAAAAGCTCATGCTTGAATATAAGTTCCAATACTGACAGGTCTCTACTTAATAAAAAAGTAACTGAATCAAACGGGGTTACTATGGGTTTTTCACTGAGCTGAAGTTAAACACCATCAACTGTAAAGTATGGTTCGGATTTAGTAAAAAAGCGCTAGTTGCGGTCTTTTAAAGATTCATAAAGACTTATTATAATATTGGTGTTAGCTATAAGTGTTGGCGATATACAATATAATTAATAGAATCTAAGATCTGCTAGGAGACGTATCAATTCATTGTAATCATCCGTTTAGTTAATGGGTATACAAGATTCACGTTCATCATTATATTGAAAAATGTATTGATTACTTAAAAACGAAATTCGTGTTTGATGTTTTTAAAATCGACATATTAGTGCTAAACGGTGTGGGAAAATTGTATAGGGAAAGAAGCAGAAAAATAAGGATTCCTAAAATGTCAAAATATGATAAAAATTAATTGATTGCCACATTGTGGTTATACCAAGCAGGTGCATTGTTTTACGTGTTTTTCTTTTTAACCGTGTTGCTTTCTCATCTTGCAGACTTCAATGCGCTTCTCGACCTCGAAGCGGAGTTGCCCGAAGAGTTGATGACTGGTACCGGCGGGGGTCTGGGTCATCAAAATGGCGCGCAGAACGGGTTACCTCCGGGTGGCCAGATGGCCAATGGTGCAGGCCCGGTTGACCCGAACGGCGGTCAGGTTGGAGTGGGCCCGGTACAGCAAGGCACTGGGGTACCAAATCCACAGCTTTCTCAGATGCTTGGCCAGCCGCCCGTACCTCAACAACCCCAGCAACCTCCGCCGTCCAACGTTATTCAACAGCATCAGCACCTATCGCAATTGCTGCAGAATAAGCCACCCCAGAACACGGTTGTCAACACTTCACTGGGTACGTATCCAGCAAATCAGCTCTCGTCTAGCAGTTCTTTCGGGGTTAGGATATCTTATGCTTATTAAAAATGTTATAAGGAATATTTCAAGGACATACCGTGTCATTCGCTCACATATTCACTGTTCATGTTTGTTGGCATACTGTATTCGATATAATTGTAAAAATGTATCTTTTTTAACACTTATGCCTTATTTGTGTTTAGTTCAATCTGTACGTAGGAGATGGAACCAAGCTTTCCTTAATAACGTGTTGCACATTACTAAATGTAATTCTTATCATTTTTTTATCATCGTTTTTATTTATGTCAAAGACTACAAATTGATCAATATACATACATATTTAAGGGTTGATGATGAACCTCTAGACTAAGTGAGTTAGTAAGGTATTCACGTGTATAGCGCTAAGCCTCTCAGAGTGTTCCAAACTGATTACTATTATATAATATATTTATATTTAGTATGGTGAAGTTTTATTAATTCGGGGTAATAATTAGCTCAAGGATAATGTTGCATCCTTAGATTAAGTAGTAAGGTATTACGCCTATTTCACGTCAGATCTATAGCACATTGCGTACTAAGCCAAGAATAATTAGTAATAATTAGTAACACTAAATATAATAATTTTAGTTTGTTAAAATTGCACTCCAAATTTACGGTCTTATTAGTATGTTTCCGTTTTATAGAGGTTTCACTTTAATAATAATAATGTAGATCAGTTAAGAGTTGTATTGGCTTCGTATTTTTTACGAACATTTTGGGACATTTTCTTAGCTTTTTTATTCCACCTCTTGTGGTCCTCTTCAACCTGCCAGTTTCCATATTCGAACTTCTTGCACCGATAGGACACTTGCTGCAGTTGTTCGATCATTACTACTCCTGACGGTGGTGTGACCTCCATATTAGTCAGGTTATAAAACCGATCTGATATTGGAAATAATAAACAAGGCGGCGGATCGGAGCGTTAATTAAAGTGCTCCGAATAGACTTTCGTCGTTCTATGTTCAGTATATACGAACGTTAGACTGCATCGCATCACGATGTCTGCAAACAAAAGTAATTCGGCGCTGAACTTTGTCAAATAGAAGATCATAATTCTCACTAGCCTCTACATTGAATCTGTACGGTCAACAATTGATGTACTTAGTCTTTCTCAGTCGCATCTCTACCAGAATTCGGATGAGTTTCCAACAATGGTTATCTAGGTGCAAAGTTTTTTGAAGAACCATATAGGGATATGTTACTTCGAATTATACCGTTATAATTGACTTGGACGACTCCGAACCCTGAAAATCGCGTGTTAGCGATTACATTCGGAGCAGTTAATAAGTTAAGCATTTGAATTATTTAGAAAATTCTGTGTCACAGTAAGTACCGTGCATACTGATCATAGTTAATCGGACACAAACGCCCCTTCTGGGTACCTATCCCAGGTCTCTTGAAGTAAACGTAACATGTGCTAAAATCGATTTTTGTCGGTTCCGAGGTTAGCCACAGAACTCTTTCAACACGAAACTACCTCGATCATTGAATTATCTAATGATTTGCTCGATTGCTAATTAGTATATAAAATTGATGATCAATATTTCAGTAAGTAGTGTATGGACTGGACATGAGGTTTAATAAAAAGTTATAAGGCGTCCAACTGTAGATTGTACGTTTCGTCGCCTTTGTTTCATTGCCTTCAGATGCAAATTCTTTAACCGTAAATTTATCCGCGATTAGAAGTGTTGATTTACTGATCTTCTAGTTTTAGAGGATTCAGCGATTAACAATTATACAGCAATGCGATGCTGTGTGTATAAATAACGCTGCTATTGGCGTATGTTAATTGAAGAATAGTTATGGTCTGTTCTTCAGGTAAACATACGTGCTTTATTTGCATTTTCGGTCTATACCTTCGAAAATGCCAAAAATCTCTTTGCTTTTGAAGGTTACACTAGCGACGAAAACGGTCATTGCTAAGGCCTTGAAAAATATTTAAGCAAGTAAACCTTATTGAAGCTGCGACAATTATGTCACATGAGGGCAGACTATACCTCGTGGAGGTCGAATAAAAATTTATTCAAGGTAAAGTCTGCAGAAGGCACCGACGTGATGTGGGAGAACCGGGTACGTCTGTGCATCCAGTACAAACGTACGCATGAGTATGAATTACCGATGTTTTCCTTAGACGCTTTGTATCATATAATATATAAAGTAGTCAAATGTCGTTCTTTGGCAACGGAAGACTTTAAACTAGTTGATCAAATGAAATTGGAAAATATAATATTAGAGGAACATTATTATCAATTATGACAGCGACCAACGTCTACGAAAAAAAATGGACTCAGATGCAGTGGTTGCACTCACCCGTTCTACACCTTATCAGTGTTACCAAATCAGTAGGTACCTACTAGTTAGCAAGAAGTTCAAATGTAGCAATCCTGTGTTTATCATAATTAAATGAAAACTCTATTGTTATGACGGTAGCTATTCTTATTAAGAGAGCAACTATCGTTTCTTTTTATATCGGAAGTGCAGGTTTTTACTCGATTGCGTGTTTACGTAATTTCTCAAACTGCTAATCAAGTATTATTGACTGTATTACAGGGCAAATGTTATCTCAAGGGGTGAACAAAACGATATTAGTGAGCAACGGGCCAACAGGCGGAATGCGTGGACCAGGTCAGACCCTCGGAAATCGTTTCGGAGGACAGCCGCCGCATTACGGACCAGGTCTCATGTCAATCGCGCAACAAACGCCCATGCAGGCCCAACAACAACAACAACGACCAATTATGGTCCAGCAACAGCCTGCCAGGTAAAAACCATTTTTCGTTTCATGCTGGGAGCCAGCCGTCTAACGGAATGCCTAACGGCGATAACGGATGTAAAACTCGAAAGACAGAGATAAAAACCATTCAAGGCAGTCAGCTGAATTCAACAGAACCATAACTTTTTTCGAAAAGTGGACGTGCACGGAGTTTATAAAAACAGAGCTTAAAACGCTATCCTCCGCTATTCTTGAGCGTATCTTGTATCGTTTCTTCCACTATCACTTCAGAAAAAGTCTGCTAAACAAGAAGTGCCGGAATTTTGATAGGACACGCATAAGATAAACCAAATCTACCTTGTTGCTTTTAAAGCATATTTATTATAGCGAAATTGGCATCGTGTCCTCTGCTCTTTCCACTCTCTCCGTCCCTATCTTTCACTCTTGCCGTATTTCGATGTATAATTTTGCTAGCCGCGTTTCGCCTACGATGTCGTCTGCTGTGTGTTGTAAAACAAAAGGAGTGGGTTGCTAAATAGAGCCACAAGATGTGATGTTTTTGGTCAACCAATGTGCGATCATATGCTGGCTTGACTGTCAAACTGTGCCGTTTCGGTGTGATACTATCAACGAACTTAACGCTCTGTTGCGATTGGTGCGACTACTGATGAATGCTATTCAAGAATGTGGCAACTCATAGGTTTTTTATGTGACTCTTAAAACTAGATAAGTGTGTGTTTTCTGACACGTTCAGATTTCAAGCCAATTCAACTTGCCCTTCTTGACGGTTTTTTTGTTCTGTTATCCAGAGCATTTGTTGGTATTTATCGACGTTTCGAATTTACTGTAAATTACAGGGTAATGACGTACAGGTTGATTCGGTTGAATAGCATATTCTAACAGAACTATGACATTCAGTGAATTGTGCTTGTGCCGATAAAAAGTTAACTGACCGTATTCATGCGACGATTCTTTGCACGGTTGTTAAGACAAAATATTGTGTTGTATTAGAAATTAGTTTTAAATTAAGTCTTTACGGCGTTGAGGAACCGTAAAGGATATACAAGTTCAAGATGCGCTGTGTTGGATTTCATTATTCGCCGGAGCGTAAAAGACCCAGGTAACGTTCTTAATTGGTTTACAACAATTGAACTGCATAATGAGAATTTACAGTTCCGTGTTCAATCAATTGGGTCGGAGAAGCAGGTATAACAAAAATTAACTAAAAACTAGTATAAGTAGAGTTTCAAAAAAAAATGTTGGTCCGCATCTGTTTCTTGTATTTGCGCTATGCCGTCGCATACGTCATACTTCAAATTAACAACCTGAACCGATTTAATTGATTATCATTGACTCCTGAGGTAGCTGCACCTAAAGAACATTCATGGTCTAAACAAGAATGAGAACGCCGTTTGTTGTTAACAAATTTCAGGTATCAAATGATGAGCGATATACAAACAGGCCAGACAGGTCCTATGGGCAATCATATAATAAACCAGTCTGGGCAAGTCGGCCAAGTGAATCAAAATGTTGTAGGACATCAAGGTGTGCAAGGTGCCGTTGTGGGCGGGCCAATTTGTCCAGCAGGCCCTATGATGAATCAAGGTCCTATGAATCCTCAGCAGCAAGGACCACCTCAGAACCAAGGACCTAATGCACCCAGTCAACCGGGGCTACCGACTGGGATTAACGCGGCACCCATGAATGCGTCGCAAGGTACAGAACACTTGTTACTGTTATCGATTCTTGTTACATGTCAAGAAGTAAGTTAAAGCAATTTTTTTGCAAATACGGCAGTCAAACATATTTTTTATGGTACTTATCTTGGCACTAGTTTTGGGTTGAGCATTTTCGAGAGATTCGGTATTTGCTATAACAAATTTTAAATCTATGCTGCATAATCGCTATCGATGTTTGAGTTTTGTGTGCAACTGGAGACAATGCGCATGGATCAGGTAGAGATCGGTTAAAAAATTTTATACTCTGTAATTATAAGCTGGGAATCTTGTATACTTAGCTTAAACCTATTCGAGTCTTTCGCGACCCTTCTTTAAATGATCATGAGAGTACCATATGTCAAAATGGTGTTACATAAGTACCAATACATTATAATCTACTTTAGCCTGCAGAGAAGGATAAGCTAGTTTGTTAACCAGGATGTCTCACTATACTTCAGTCACACTCTAGTAATTGTTTTTGTCTTTTCTAATACTTATATTGCGCATATTTTTTTACTTTTTACATATTGTTTATGCTATAAGCGTAATTATATATATATATAACAAACTATGCTTTGATAGAATCATTAAGCCAAAACTCGGGCTGACTATAAAGCTGTTGTTATTAACCTTTACCATTGTGGTTGGTTTCCCTTCCGTCGGATGTCTGGTGATCCGCAGGCGGACCAGGTGGCGCTTCTGGAAGCGGTAACGGTCCAGTCGTAGGACCGACGGCCGGAGGTCCAGGAGGACCCAGTGGACAGGGGCCAGGTCCTGGCGCAGGACAGGCGGCCGGTGATCCCGAAAAAAGAAAACTAATTCAGCAGCAGTTGGTGCTTTTGCTGCATGCACATAAATGCCAGAGGCGTGAGCACCAGAATGGCGCTATTCCCGGTGGTGCACAGCAAAGGCAATGCATGGTGCCACACTGCAGAACGATGAAGACTGTCCTCAACCACATGTCACAATGTATGGACGGAAGGGACTGCTCGGTAACGCATTGTACATCATCGCGCCAGATTATCTCCCACTGGAAGAACTGTACGCGCAACGATTGTCCGATTTGTCTTCCTCTCAAGCAGGCTGGAGATCGAAGGCAGGGTAACCAGCCGGGCCAGCAGGGCCAACAACAAGCCCCTTCTGGACAGGTGGGCCAAGGCCCCGGGCAGCTCATGCCGGGAGGTATACCAGGTCAACAGGGACCTCCACAGGGTCAGGGCGCACCGCAGCAAGGGGGTCCGAGCCAGCAGCCCAGTGGTCAGCCTGGCCTTGGTCAAAGCCAGGCTGGCCCGGGGGCTCCCAACAACATGACCGGACAGCAATCGGGTCCTATCGGCCCGCAGACCGGCGTACCCATTGGGCCAGGCGTACGGCAGCAAGCTCCGCAGAACTCAATACCTGGACCCCAGCAGCAACCACAGCAGAATTCGCAACAGGCGTCACCTGCCGATATGCAGCGGGCGTATGCTGCTCTTGGTCTACCATATGCTCCGTCACAAAACCAGGTAAGCGACTAAATCGCGCGCATACATTTGATATATGTATGAACAGTGTTCTAAAAAACTTAAATTGCTCGATATGCGTCTATCCAAAGATCATATTTTCTCTTTGTTAAAATTTGTTTCCGAGTAAGGTTTGTTATTACGCATTTCTATATAACCATTTTCTTTCTTCTCATTGCCTCTTCCTTTTGATGTGCATTTAGGCGAGCCAAATCGTTGGTAGTATGGGGTCAGTTGGTCCGGGAAGCGGCATGGGGGGCGTAGGGGTAACACCAGGATCTCAGCCGGCGCCTAACCCAACCCCACCGCCATCTCACAGCCCCTTCATGGCGCCCGTGTCGCCAAATAGGATGAACAATCAGCAAGCTGGACAGCCGGGCGCCAAGGAGTGGCATAATTCAGTCACCCGTGACCTACGTCAGCATCTTGTGCAAAAGATCGTCCAGGCTATTTTTCCAACGCCAGACCCGAACGCTATGCAAGATCGTCGAATGGTAAATCTTGTCGCATACGCCAAGAAGGTTGAAGGAGATATGTACGATCAGGCGAATTCACGTGAGGAGTACTACCACCTTTTGGCCGAGAAGATTTACAAAATCCAAAAAGAACTCGAAGAGAAACGACAGAGACGGCGAGAGCAGCAACAACAACAGCAGCAACAACCTCAACAACAACAACAGCAACAACAGCAGCAGCAGCAGCAGCAGCAACAACAACAACAACAACAACAGCAACAACAACAACAACAGCAGCAGCAGCAGCAGCAGCAGCAACAACAACAACAACAACAAGGAATGCAGCCTGGCGGTCCCGTCGGGGCATCGGCGGCAGGACAAGCTCCTGGGCCGGGTCCTTCAATGCGAATGCCAGGACCACTTCCTGGTCCGCCACCCAGTCAACCACAGATTGGTTTACGCGGACAGCCACCACCCAACGTCACTATCAACAATACGATGACTGGCCCACCCAGTTTTCAAGGCCAAGGCATGCCCCAGTCAGGAATGGGTCCTAATTCCAATTTCCTGAACAACCAACAGCCGCAAACTGGACCAGGACCTATGGGAGCACCGTCACATCAACCAGCTCAGACACAACAACAAATCAATGACTTCAACCAGCAACAAGCTCAATTCGAGCAGGTATGAAGATACCATCGAACCAAATAGCGGGCTTAGTGTTTATTAAGCTGTTCACAACTAAATCCGCAAAACTCTTTTGCTTCTTCTTTATCTTCACAGTATTCCAGGTGATTTACATAATTTTTATAAATGACGTATATTATCACTTAATCTCGTACGTATTCATTAAACCCAATTGATTGTTTTTTCTTTTTGTTTACATTTCTAAAATTAGAACAGCTAAGTAACTAAGCATTTCCTATTTTAGAATAATTGCTCGTTGGTATTAAGTAATTTTTTCCGATGGTCTGTTTTTTCTTGCCAGGTAATGAAGCAGCGCCAAATGCAGCAAAGTGGCGGTCCGGTGGTGGCCATGGCCAGTTCGCAAGGTGGTCCAGGAACGTTAGGTATTGGAGGGCCACTTGGCACGAACCAGCAGCAACAACAACAGCAACAGCAGTCGAACGGAGGTCAGAATAACGGCCAACTAACTGCGCAACCTGGTCATGGCCAGCCGGGGTCCGGGTCGACGATGGGCGGCGGTTCTGGTCTGATGCCGCCACGCACGGCGCTCGGCGGTGGCCTTATGAGCAGCCTACAGCAGCCACCAAATCAGCTGCCTGATGCCATATTGGCCACGGAGGAGCCGGCCGAGCTCGAGCCTAAGCCGGCCGTCGACTCCAACCTGCTGGCCAGTCAGCTATCCACAGGACTAAAACAGGCAAGTGCAGTCGGCCAGACCACATCGGGTGGTCCCTTGACGGGGGCGGCCACAGGGGCACAGCAGCCTCAACCGCCCGGTCCTAACCCAATGCCACTTCAGAGTGCGGGCAGCGGACCGGGCCCAGCGCCGCAGGCGCCTCCCCTCCCCGATAGTACAACTTCGGATAGGTTCCATGCAGCAGGTTCCGGGGCAACCCCAAACCCCCTCGCGCCCTCAGGGCCAGCCGTCGGTGCTACGCCGAGCCAGTTCACTAGTGCACAACACGGCTCGGAGGCTCCCACTAGTTCCCTAGGGTCATCGGTTAGTAGCAGCTACAATATACAGAAACAAACCAAAAACCAACTCCATGACAACACCGTATCATCCTTCTTTTCAAATATATATATATATATGTATATATATATATATATAAATATATATATATATATATATTATAGCCCGCCTTCTTGTTATCTTGTTGTTCGCGCGTCCTTTCTCTTTGCTATCTCTGTTTTTATAGTTCTCTCACAATTATTTTATAGAATTACATTTCACGTCAGTGACGATTTTATGATGGACTGACTGAGTAGCAGTAGGCAACATTGAAAAAGATCAAACCGATTAGTTATCTGCACGATGAATGTACATAGATGTTACGTATTCTTCTTAACAATTCAGATTAATTTAATTATTATTAATGTGTTCTTTATTTTGGAATCATGGATGGCATGTGCAAAGTGTTACAAAAACTACTAATACTTTAAGTTCGTGTTGAGGGCGACCATCTGTGGGGTACGCGCCGCGAGCGCAAAAACGGTTATGGGAATGTTGTCACTAAAAGCTATTACAACAGTTATCAAAGAAACAAGATAGGTATGCATCTTGTGACGTAAAAGAAAGACAACATATATAGAAACATTTGCAAGATGTCGAAGTAAATGTGTATGTCTGATGTACTTGTATGCTGTATGGCGGTAGATTAGCGAGATGTTCATTAAGTATTTGCTATTACCCTTTTCTTAGGAGACTCAGCAGAACCAAAGTGGCCCAGCTGGAGGTGTTACATCGGTAGGGCCTCCGCCATCAGTAAACGCACCCGACAGTGTGCAAAGCATCAAACAGGAACCTCCCAGTTCAGTTCCTGATCATAACCCCGCCTCGGTCGGCGGTAAGGTTACTTCGGCCATCAAGCAGGAAGCTATGGACTTCGACAGTAAGCCTGCATCTGTAAAACAAGAGGCGCCAGGAAGCGTACAGAGTTCTCAGAGCGTTCAAGCCGAGATGAAGACTGAGAATGGAGATGTAAAAATAGAAGTGAAAGATGAGAAGCCGCCAAGTGTAGCGTCAAGTGAGACGGCAACGCCTAAACCAGCGGGCACCAAAGTGCCACGAAAGGCCTTTAAACCTGACGAGCTTCGGCAAGCGTTAATGCCGACACTAGAGAAGCTCTATCGACAGGACCCGGAGAGCTTACCATTCCGTCAGCCGGTGGACCCACAAGTGCTGCAGATCCCCGATTACTTCGACATCGTCAAGAAACCGATGGACCTTTCGACCATCAAGAGAAAATTGGATACTGGTCAATACAAAGATCCGTGGGAGTACTGTGACGACGTCTGGCTCATGTTCGACAACGCCTGGCTGTATAACCGCAAGACATCGCGTGTGTACAAGTACTGCACAAAGCTTGCAGAGGTGTTTGAGGCGGAGATCGATCCCGTCATGTCGTCATTGGGCTATTGCTGTGGCAGGAAGTACGTGTATCAGCCGCAAGTGCTCTGCTGCTTCGGAAAGCAGCTTTGTGCCATCCCCAGAGACACTAAGTATTTCAGCTACCAAAACCGTTATACATATTGCGCCAAATGCTTTGAGGTGAGTGTTTTTGTCCACGTTTCATGCAGAAAGGGGGCCTATAAGTTGAGGTACTTTGCCACTCAGGCAAATCGGAGCTAATAGGGAAAGTGAACTATTTTTCTGGTATAATAACTAAGTGTGTGCAAATAAAGCCATTCAGCTTATTTCTGGTTTAGTATAAATTGACTATATACTGTTAATCAAATAATAGTCCACCTGATCTTTTCTGAATACACTGAGATGTTTATATAGGATAGCCTACAGTATCAAATTGATTATGAACTTATTTTTTCAACGATGTTTCTTCTTTTCAGGAAATACCGGGAGAAACTGTAACAATATCAGATGACCCAACAGGTGCTAACCCACAGTGGCCTAGCCAAACGATTCCTAAAAAGCAGTTCGTTGAGATGAAGAATGATCATCTCGAGCTTGAACCTTTTGTCGAGTGTTCTGATTGCGGACGCAAACTTCACCAAGTTTGTGTTCTGCATTTCGGAAATATATGGCCAGAAGGATTCACCTGCGATGGATGCCTCAAAGCTAAGGGTGAGACATATTTTCATAAATGAAGTTCTCCTAGAAAGCGACTTTTAGTAATCGAAAACATTGTAAAGTGAACCATTTTCTTCTGCGAGTGCACACTGCTTTCTAGTTGTAATTTACCCGCAGTTGTCTATTTGCTATGGCTACATATCACCATCTATCATACATCATTTGTGGTCTGCTCGTCTCGGTTGTTTCTCTTCGTTGTATTACAGGATCGAAGCGACGCGAAAACAAGTTCTGCGCAAAGCGACTGCCGACGTGCAAGTTGTCCAATTTTCTCGAAAACAGGGTCAACACCTACTTGAAGAAGAAGAACTCGGGCGCGGGCGAGGTGTTCATTCGCGTCGTGGCCGTCTCGGACAAGATGGTGGAGGTTAAGCCTGGCATGAAATCCCGCTTCGTTGATACCGGAGTGTGGCCAGAGACTTTTCCATACCGCGCGAAGTGTATGTTCGCTTTTGAGGACATCGACGGCGCGGACACCTGTTTCTTCGGAATGCATGTGCAGGAGTACGGCCATGAGGCGCGCGCGCCCAACACCCGGAGAGTGTACATTGCGTACCTCGACTCTGTGCACTTCTTCAGACCCAAGCAGTATCGGACGGCAGTATACCATGAAATATTATTAGGCTATCTGGAATATGTCAAGCAACTAGGCTATGTTATGGCCCATATTTGGGCGTGCCCTCCGAGCGAGGGAGACGATTATATTTTCCATTGCCATCCTACGGAGCAAAAGATACCCAAGCCAAAGCGGCTACAAGATTGGTACAAGAAAATGTTGGACAAAGCAATCATCGAGAGAATCGTCATCGAATACAAAGATATCCATAAGCAGGCGCTAGAAGACAACCTCAAGTCGGCGAGCGAACTGCCCTATTTTGAAGGAGATTTCTGGCCAAATGTGCTGGAGGACTCGATTAAAGAGCTGGACCAAGAAGAGGAGGAGCGGCGCAAGCAGGAAGCACTGGCAGCAGATGCGTCATGTGAAGCCGACGAAGCTGATGGACCTGATGATCCCGCGAATCCGGGCAAGAAGAAGGCCCAGAAAAACCGCAAGAGTAAAAACCAGCAACGGAAAAACAACAAGAAGAGCAATTCGGCTCACGGTGGTAATGATCTCACCGGAAAGGTGTTTGCCACAATGGACAAACACAAGGAAAACTTCTTTACGATACGGTTACATTCAGCTCAGGCTGCCGCGAGCCTACCACCCATCAATGATCCCGATCCGTTAATGTCATGTGAGCTTATGGATGGCCGAGATGCGTTCCTAACGCTAGCTCGCGAGAAACATTATGAGTTTTCATCGTACCGTCGGTGTCGTTACAGCTCGATGGCTATGTTGTACGAGCTACATAACCAGAACAAGGACTCGTTCGTGTACACGTGTAACAGCTGCAAAGCCAACGTCGAAACACGTTACCATTGTACCGTGTGCGACGACTTCGATCTCTGTGTACCGTGTTACAAAAAGGATGGCCACCCTCACAAGATGGAACGGTTAGGTCTCGATCTCGACGACGGTTCAGGCGGCAGTGACTCGTCGAGTGTGTCCGGAACCGCCAATCCCCAGGATCGACGCCAGTCGATTCAGCGTTGTATCGCATCGCTGGTGCACGCATGCCAGTGCCGCAATGCCAACTGCTGCCAGCCGTCGTGCCAGAGGATGAAAAGGGTCGTCACGCACGCGAAATCATGTAAGCGAAAGACCAATAATGGCTGCCATATTTGCAAGCAGCTTATAGCGCTATGCGTATATCATGCCAAGCACTGCCAGGAGGCGAAATGTTTGGTTCCATATTGTCCCAACATCAAAGCAAAACTTCGTCAGACTCAGTTGGAACAACGGGTGCTGCAGGCCCAAATCCTTAATCGGCGCATTGCCGCGATGCAAAATCGCGTTATGTCGAGCACAGCCAGTTCGACGGCAGCCAACATGACCGGCGTCAGCTCCGCCTCGGCCGGCGGTGCCTGCTCGTCCGCACCTGCCGCGCAACCCACGCAACCGTCACCCGCGCCAAGTCCGTTAGGCGGTGGCACTATGAGCGGCCTACCAGGCGGCGGGATGTCACAAGGAAAACCAGGAAGCGGACCGTCACCGGGCGTCATGCAAGCTCTACAACATGTCCAGGCATCCGTGGCACGGTAAGCATTATAAAAATTACGGATAATGCTTAGAATACTGAATTTTGTAGCACATCATTGAGACCTATATGTTCTTGTTATTACATTTGATACACCACTGTGCGACACAATGGGGTGATTTTTATAAAGTGAGTAACAGGTGCATGCATTAATCGATCAACAACTTCATCAACGTAGTTCGCGCAGCGAACCTCTGGCAGGGCCTCATCTCAAATATGTCAGTATGACAGTTTTTTGTTTAAGGTGTAGAGGTGCATTAGCGCATGTAAATAGCCATGTTTATGATTTATTTTTCACCGTTACAGACAAACTAGCCAAGCGGGTCATATGATGCAAGGAGGAGGTCAGTACGGAGGCGCAAACAACGGCGGCTCGATGGGCCCTGGAGGTGGTGTAACAGGCGTGGGAGGAGGTGGTAAGCCCATGGGCGGTGTAGGTGGCCAACAAATGGGGGCGCCCGGCGGCCCTCAGATGTCCGCTGGGCCCGGTGGACCGATGCAGCCGCAGCAACAACAGCAGCAGCCGCAGCGGCCCATGAACCCGGGCACGATGGGCCAACAGCGCTGGGAGTCGCCGCCACCCGGCTACCAACAGGGCAGTCAACAGCAAATGGTGTCACAGCAGCAACAAATGGGCCAGCCGGGGCCGGGCCAACAGCAGCAGCAGCAGCAACCACAACAGCAGCAAATGACCGGTCCCTCAAATCAGCCCCAGATGGGTCAGATGGACCATGGAGGGCCCCAGCCCGTAGGTATGGGTCAGCAGCCCATGGGGGGCCTCGGTGGCCAGCCAGGCATGGGCCAACAACCCGGCATGGGTCAAGGTCGTGGACCGGTGGCCATGGGACCTCCTCGTGGCGGCCAAGCTATGAACCCACTTCAACAGCTTATTCAAACCCTTAAGAGCCCATCTAGCCCACAGCAACAGCAACAGGTACTGTCCATTCTCCGAGCGAACCCGCAGCTGATGGCTGCCTTTATCAGACGCCAGCAAAATCATCAACAGAGTCAACAGCAGCAACAGCAGCAGCAACAACAACAACAAAATCCGCAGGTACGTTACGGTGTTAGAGAGGTGACAAATGGTAACAGTTGTCGTTGTTGTTATTGAAGTATTACTGTTATAAAGTTAGTACTATGGTGCTGAATACAGTTGTATTAAATGCGCTAGCGAAGCAAGCTGGTGATACTGAAAAAGTTGTTCGCGATCATATTAAAGGCTCTGCTATAATTATATATTGCTTGTAAACAGCTTGTGGGGAGCTTCCGTGAGAAGTTAACAGCTGATTGAGGTGTATATACATAATACATATAAATATGTACATTTACATTTTTTAAACCATCGAATTAATAATAAAATTATTTCGTGATGTTATGATATTATTACATCACGTTTATTTTTTTTCTATTCTTCTCTGGCAGGGTCAACAAGCAGGCGCTGGACAGCCGCAGATGGGCCAGGGCGTCGGTGCGGTAGGGGTGAACCCCCAGCAAGGTGGTATGGTTCCAGGCGCACCCCAGGTAGGCGGTCAACAGCAGCAACAGCAGCAGCAACAACAGCAACAACAGCAATGGGGCTACCAACGGCCGCAGATGGGCCCTGGCCAGCAACAGCAGCAAATGATGCAACAGCAACGGTTTCCCGGACCTGGCCCCCAGCAGGTCATGTATCAACAAAGAGTTGGAGGACCTCAACAGCAGCGTGTATATCATCAGGGCCACCAACAGTTTCAGCAGTCATTAACAGGCTATCCGGGTCAGAATCAACAGGCTATGGGCTCACCAATGGGCGCGCCGATGATCAATTCGCCACCGCCAAACATGGTCACCCGAAGTCCACAGCCACAGCCAAGCCCACGACCATCACCTTCGCCGCGCGGCGGTTACGTAGGCGGCGGCGGCGGAATGGGCGGAGGCGGTGGACCAGATGACGCCCTAATGGGCGGTCACATGGGCGCCCACATGGGTCAGCAGCCAGGGCCATCCGACCAGGGTATGGCTGGCCACGCCACACATATGGAAACCGACCAAATGGCGGCAGCTATGCAACAACAGCAACAGCAGCAGCAGCAACAACAACAGCAGCTCACTCCGCAGGAACAGCTAAATAAGTTTGTAGAGAATCTGTAAATTCGATTGTGCATACCTATATA